CTAGTACAGTTCATCCTATTGATGATGTCATTGTGTGAACGAACGGAGTACTCGATTACGGGGATAAAATCCACTCTAGACTTTTCTACTGGAACATTGGTGAAATTGCTATAATCTGGGAGAGCATGGAGATAATATGGCCACCGCGGTTTGTTTAGGTGATTGGTCTTCCACACCACATGCCTTTCTTGGGTTCATTGGCCCAATACTTGGTCCATTTTGTTAATTTATCTACCCTGTTACATTATGTTATCGCCAATTTCTGTGCTCAAGTAGTATGTCTGATCGCTTGACACGCAAAGTTCTGTGGTTTTGTATGGCATTTTCTCACAGTACTAACCTATGCCATCCCCCCACAGGTTGAACATGTCATAAGGGAAGAGAAATTCATGCAAGCATATGACCTGATTGAAGTGTACTGCGAACTTATAGTGGCACGCATGTCCATTATTGATTCACAGAAGTAAGCCAAGTTTATATTCCTTGTCTGTAAACCAGTACTTACTTGTCCATGTCTTTATCTGATGTCTGAAATTGCTTTCTTATCATTAAGAGAAGCAGACACACAGTTTATAGTTTGAGGAATATCACCTCAATCTCATTTTTGGACTATTTCCGTAGTTGATAGGGTAGGAGTTATCTTTTATCCATTATCAGCGAACTAGGGTATGGTTTCTTGGGTAATGACTTACCTTTTATCTTTTTCCTTAACGGCACATCATGATTTAGCTGGACTCTTCTGCGCTTATAAAAACTGCCGCATATTATTCATGCAGAGTCCTTTCCAGGATAACCTAAAAACTAAGGGTGTTTGAATGACCCCCGTTTACCCTAACAAATATTGGCCATGACCAAACTGCAGGCTCGATTTTTTGGTGCCAGAAAAATAATGGACTAAACATGGGTGAGCCAAAATTTGGCTCGGTGATGCTGATCAGGTAGTCATACAGATAGGAAGAATGATTCATCAACAAAACTTTGTTCCAATTCTCACTAAATTTCTATTGAACACCCCTGTCCAAGTGTGCATGTGTGTAAGTGTGAGCACCAGGATTTAGACCCTGGTGGGTGAAGCTACCCCATAACTGCACCAACCCAACAAGAGGTGGTTCTCGCTGACCATGACTTTGTTGAAGGTTGGAATAAAAGCTTGCCAAATCCCTAGGACATGCCAAATAATGGCACCAATCCAAAGGATGACCAAAATTTAGGGTATCGCTGAATTTTGGTGGTTCGCTGGGGCTTGCCCGGTGCACTGGTGGAGCCAATCTGGATAAAAAGTGACATGCTCCTTTTTTCATGGCAAGCCCATATGTTAAATTGTTATTCAGTTCAGAAGGTGCTGTAAGTCTTGAATAATCGAAATATTGACAATCTGTTTCTCAAGCCAAGTGCCACCACTGACATGAAAGATCAGTCCCTTCAGGAAAGTTGCACTTGCATGGAGCTTCTTTATCAGCAATTTACAGCATAATCCTGTTATAGTTGTTGAGGACTTGTGCACTCCTCTGGTAAACTTAAAAACATTAACAAATATCACAGGAATATAATCATCAACTCTAAAACAAATTGAAATTATTGATGATTGAGTAGACATTTATATTGGTCCTATTTTCTGCTGTTCTCTCATGGCACATATCTATTTTTGCCCTGAATATTCAGTACTTACAGTTACATGTTTGTTTGCCTGAAATCTAGGACTTGCCCTATTGATCTGAAGGAGGCAATAGCAAGTGTTATATTTGCATCAATGAGATGTTCAGATGTCACAGAACTAGCAGATGTTCGGAAGAATTTCACAAGCAAGTATGGGAAAGAGTTTGCCACATCAGCTCTTGAAGTGCGACCTGACAGTGGCGTAAACCGTCTGGTATTTTTTTGCTTTTCAGTTTCTGAATTGGGCGAAGGTTTTGCAGCTGTACACTTTTAAAACAATTTATTACTGTGCATACAGGTAATCGAGAAGCTCTCAGCAGGAGCACCGGATGTACAGACTAAAACCAAAACCTTGAGCTCAATTGCGGCAGAGCACAACATAAAATGGGAGCCAAAAGCATTTGAAGAGCAGAAGCAAAATGAAGATCGGATGGTAAACTGACAGACCTGAATTGGTTTTTAGGTTGAGTATTTTGGCTCTAACCTGATCTATTGTCTGTCATGTAGTATGGATCAACATATTCTGGAGGAAACATTCCAACTTCGGGGTCATCTGCTTCTAGCGTGCCAACTCCTCAACCTGCAGCAGCTCCCTATTCATCTGTTCAACCAGCCACTTCTCGTGTGCCTGCAGGACCTTCTTATGAATCTTCTGAAGCTCCAGCTAATAGAAACCCACATGGCACTGCCAACTCTAATGCTTCCACACAGGAAAATAGAAGGGGTTCGGATGCTTCAGTGCCTCCTAGCTTCCAACATGGTGCAGCTACTTATTCCTCAGCAAATATTCCTGGATCTAACAACTACTCTAATACTGGGAGTTCAAGTGTTTCTGGACCTCACTCCCAATTTGGCTCAACAGTTCCAGGTACAATTGTAGGTTGTACTTCTTTTTAGTATCATCACTTTTTAATGCTTTGGTATTCTTCGTAGTTACTTGTTTATTTTATCTTTGCAGACCCAGTATCCAGGACTGAAGAGATCAACCGGCCTAGGGAAAGGAAGTCTTCAGCTAGTGGTTCCAATTGGAATGTGGAATTCAAGGATGCAGCATCTGCAGCACAGGCAGCAGCAGATTCTGCTGAGATGGCAAGCATTGCTGCCAGAGCTGCAGCCCAACTTGCTAGCCGTGGAAACTTCTATGCAGACCAAGATACTGGTGCTTATGAATCAACTGCTTATATGAATGACACTACACCCAGGAAGCAACAAGCTGGACGTTTGATGAAGGATGGTAAGAGTTTTAATGAGCAGATTTCAGGTATTAATGATCCAAGGATGATCTCAAGTAATGCAAGAGAAGATGAAGAAAGAGCAGAAACAAACCGCGTGAGTAGCCAGAATATGTCAACTCCTTACTCCTCTCAGCTCCACTCGTATGCTCCTGAAAGCCGTACTGATCATGACATGCCAACTGAACCGCATCATGCTCATTCATCTGAGCCTCCATATTTTAATGATTCGTCTGAGCCTCCATATTTTGATGATTCATCTGAGAAAGAAAGCAATATCAGAAGACCTGAGGATCACCCATTTGATTTGCATGAGGAAAGGTTGCCAGATGCTGGATTTGATTGGCACCACACCAAGGATATAGGAAGCAGGCAAGCTAGCTTTGATCAAGAGAGTAGGAATAACCACTATAGTAATTTTAGTGCTTCCCACGGTGGCAGCAGTATGTCTTGGGACAACCAGAATGATAAAGCTGGAGCTGATTCTTCAGCTGTTTTATTCGATGAATTTGACTATGATGTTCAAGAAGAGAACTTACTGGATCATTTCGCTTCAAAACATACTGAAGAGCTGCCAACTGTGCAGGGCCACAAGGGATTCTCAAGTGCAGATTGGAGTAAGCAGCCTAGAAGTGAATCTCCGGTTGATCGTACCACTTCAACTCTCTTTTCAAGAACAGAAACACAGCCATCTTATGATTTAGGAGCAAACAAAGAGGATATTCCCCTGAATGATACTAGACCACCTACTTTTGATTCAGATGGTGTTAGTTCTGACGAGGAAACAAGTACAGACATGCATATCTTAAGGACCCATTCAAGAGGATCTGATTACTCTGAGAACAAAATGTTCAATAAGAATTCTGGAGAGTTTGTTCCTGATGTTAATGATAGTATTGAAGATCATGAATCTAGGCCCAGCAAGCAATACCAGAATCCACCAGGTTCTGATGTATTCCACAAGGAGCAAAACAGTGGCGGTTCACCTAGATATGACTATTTGGGAGCACGGGGGAACTTGGGTCGTGTGCAAAGCAGAGATTATGATCTTTCAGAAGAAGAAACAGAACCACATAAATTGGAAGGTACATCCTCAGGGATGACAGGAGCAAATGAGAATCGGCCCTCGCCTTTCCGCATTCCAACTTCAGCAACATCTGATGACAGCGATGACGGTGATGTTGGCCTGAATTATGGAAGGTTAACTCCTGGACTAAGAAACAAACTCAGGCAAGGTCCACAATACAAAATTTCTGGGGATAACTTGCTGCGAAAACAGTCCTTAGAAGGAGCTCCTGCCAGCATTGAAGAATCAGTGCATTTCAAAGAGAATGACACATCATCTGAACAGACGGGTTCACGCACAACCAAGAATTCTTTTGGTGCAAATTACCACAGTGAACATCTCGATGGGAGACATACTGTTGGCAAGCCTGTGGAATCAAGATCATCCATGACGAGGGATGACTTATATTCAGGTGATACAGGGAAGTTATCTGAACGATCTGGCAGTCCAATTTCTAGCCCAACCAAGACTTCTGTTAGGGAAAATTCTATTCAAGAGCCACATCTTGAAAGACCGGGTAGTGGGGTGCGCAGGGAAAGTAGATCAAGAACTGCCAGAACTTTCTTTGATTCAGATGAGAGCGAAGAAGAATTGGAACGACGCCGGTCTGGCCAGACAAAGTTGTCTAAAGCGCAGATACAATCACGGAGGACTCGGGAGGTAGCACCCGATACAAAGAGAGATGGCCGAGCCCGGGTTGGAGCACAGTATGCCGTTGAAGCTGAAAGCACGCCAAAAAGCCCTGCTAAAGCATTCTCCAACTCGAGTACTGAACAAAGAAAAGTGGCACCTGCGTACTCCAGGGTTTCAGTACAGCAGTCTTTGCCAAATCCTGTGCGCATTGAACCTCCCGCAGCTAGAGGCAGGTGGCAAGAAGATGAACCGGATGGAAGTTCTTCTCCAGAAAACGAGGGAAACACAGAGACCTCAGCAGAGACCCTGAAAGTAAGCACCCCAACAGCTGGTCCTGCCCACGTTCACCCCAAGCTTCCAACAGACTATGATTCTTTTGCTGCACATTTTAAGTCGCTCCGAACTAATCGCCGTTAGGGATACACATACATGTATACGGTTTGAGAAACTTCTGTTGAGATGTGTACAGTATAGAAACACACTGGTTGGAGAGACTTATTGTGCCCTGGTATTTTTTTTGTAAGGACACCAATTCTTTCATTCTCTTTTGGCCTCAGATATACAGCGTCTTTGATAGGTTATGTTTTCCTTGTAGTGTTGTAATAAGCACATTACGCGCACAGATGTACACAACCCCGGGATTTCGTTCAATTTGTTTGTTTGACTCGACCTTGTTTGTGTGGAGAGGAATTATTGGCCTGCAGTTTACTAGTTTTCGTTGAGAGCAGTGTTCCTTTCACTCCAAATTTCTTCTTCAATTACTTAGGACAAACTTCGGAATTGTGACCCGTTCATCCCACGTGAAGATTTGCTTGGCAGTAGTGGTACAATTGGAGCAGAGATTTGAATGGATATCACTCTATAATCACTAGAACATGATGTGCGGTTGCCGGACCTGTTCATCTTGACAAAAAGAAAAGGTTAATATACTACTCCCTCCGTCCCGAAATGCAAGGCGTTTTTTGACAATATGGTAGTGTCAAAAAACATCTTGCATTTCGGGACGGAGGGAGTACTCTAGTAGAAAATTTAATCTACAGTGTCTTAATTTGTAGCATGGGTTACGTTTTGTTTACAATATAAGAGGAGCTCCAATCAAAATATATTTCTGTGTAAGTTTGGTGGAGATTTTACAAATATTCTATGGATCCATGAGATAGAAGGCAGATGAAGGAAACCATTAAAAGGGGGATGGTGAAACAATTCAGCACATTAAGAACAATACACAAAAAGATCTTTTGACTAAAATCCACTTTGTACTTTCAACGATCACGTTTGTGATAGTAAGTACCCATTTAGAAAATTATCTCACATGTACTCTTCTTATCAAACTTGTTTTTAACCATGTCTTATAAAACTTGTTGACATAAAAAAATAAAAATGTACCACATTTATCAAATTTGTTGTCATAATGTAACACATTTGGCAAATTGTCTCCCAATTGACACAAAGGGCCCACCCTTCGGGCTGACAAGGCATGACACATGGACATGTAATGGCAACATACACTATCTTGTCGATTTAGCTCTGGTTCAGCTGAATCAAGTGTCTCGCTCAATCGGTCCCTCTAGCACTTGCTGAAAGGGCAAGCTGAGCACGACTTTGGAGGCGAACATTGGATCTTCTTTGGGTTATAAGGTGAATTTACTCAAAGATTTGGGTACTACTTCAATAGGAGAGGTATGCGGCTGACATGTAGCTGATGGGATTATGGAAAAATGGTGGCGACAACACATGACTAACTAATTTGATGGTGGTGCTTCTTGAGCACCCGGTCTCGAGCTCCGGGGTGAAAGCCTAGGTGACCCGGGTTGGTTATGCCTGGCAATGGTAGTGAATTGCAAAAAAACATCGACATTGAAGGTTAGGTTTGCAGAAACCACAAGTCTACAATTTTGTGCCCCAAAACACTAATTCCCAGGCTATTTTTTGCAGAAAACACTAGTCGCTCGGTTCGGTCGTTTTAAGTGGGATTATGACAGGTGGGCCCAACTTTTGTCGATGTGGCGGCACTGTTCATCCGTCTGAGCCGTTAGACGGCGTCAGACGCCGTGCGCGGGCCGGTTCGAGCCGGTACCCTCTTCTACCAGCCGCTCCCTTCCCGCTCGCTCCTCTCCATCTCTTTCCCTCCCCCGCACTCTCTCTCAGACATGGCGACGGCGAGTGGCGGCGGCGGGCCTACCGGTGGCGGAGACGACAGGCCACCGGAGGCGGATGTCTCCGACAGCTCAAACCCCGGCGCCCTTTCGAACGACAGCCCCAACCCCAGCCCCCAGCACTCGCTTGAATTCGCGACGGCTAGATCTTGGGCCAGGGTCGTGAAGGCCGATCCGACAGAAAGCCACTGGTGGGGCTCGTCATTCGGCGGCGTCTAGTAAGTTTCCCTCTTTAGAAACCTAGTTTCTTATCATTTGTACATATTCTAGGGTTAGGGTTCTTCAAGTTGGGGCTGTATGTATGTGTGGTTATTTTGATTTGTTGGCACTGTTAAACCTAGCTTGGGTGCTGAAACACTCAATTGGATTTGGGGGAGGGGGGAGGGGAATAGCCCACTGTCACAAAATCATATTAATTTGTAATGTCATATTAATTTATTTTTAGTTGATATATATCAATGTGAACTGTTAAGTAGAGCAGTGCCAATAAAGAGCAAATTAGAGTAGCTTCTTTTGTAGTAATTATGAATTCTTAATTAGAGCAGTGCCAATAAGAGCCAAATATAGTACTTTCTATTAATATGCAGTGTTAATTAGAGCAGATTACTGTTAACATTTTTATAGTAATTATGCACTGTTAATTAAAATTGTTGTATTATCTTGCTGTCTAGTTTGGATGATGCTGTTTGGGAAGTTAGAATGCACTTCCATGACAGAGACAACTTGGAGAGATCAATCTGCATTTCAGACATCACATATCACAATTTGGTAGCATTAATAGACATAGAGGGATATGGACTGAATGATTACGTTTACTTTGTGAGGGAGCCTGGTGTGGGTATTGCAGGATTGGAACAAATTTCTGATGATGACAAGGTGGATGAAATGCTTGACCATATTGGTAATAAAGATCAGAATGTAGTGAATTTGACAGTGATTAGGGCCACTGATCCAAGACCTGCAGATTTGAATTCAGGCTATGTGTATGAGGAGCAGGTTCCTCTGAGTCAATTAGAAGAAAAAACCTATCTATGAAGTCAATCCTTCTGGAGTTCTATTCAGATCACCTAAGAAATCCAATAAACAGAGGCAGTCAGAGCCACTTCAGTTCTTTTCCACACAGCAGAGCACAAACTTAGATCTTGCTAGGGATCAAGATGAGCTGGAGACACTAATGGAGCTAAAGAGGAGAACCAAGATTGAGAAATTTAGGAAACATAAGGAGGAAGTTGAGCATGTTCAAATGGTTAAGCAAAAACTACCGATTCTTTTAGCTGAAGATGATTCTGATCTGGATGCAGATGAGGACTTTCTTAACATGCTTAATCAGTTGAGGAGGCAGAGAGAGGACCCACTCCTTCATTTTGAAGGAGACACTGATGTGGATGAAGTGTATGGGGAAGATGAGGAAGAGGAGCAGGTGGAGCATGAGGAAGAGGAGCAGGTGGAGCAACAACAGGAGGCATAAAAGAAGAAGAAATCTAGAAAAGGGCCAACCAAGAGGTCACATTCTAGATTGGAGCAAAGATTTGAGGGTGTGTGGATACCATCATCAGATGAGGTGATAGATGTATTTGATTTGAAGGAGGAATATGATGATGGAGATGAGAAGCACCTTATATTTTGCCCAATGGAAGGAAGAGCAGAGCATATAAATCATAGCCAAGGAAGTGGTACAGTGAAGACGGAGAGAACCCAGAGGAGCAGTTTTGTAGAAAACTTTGTTTCCTTAATGTGTACCAATTTAGGAGAGCACTTTAGACATTTCACATAAGTCGGAATAGGAACTATGAGTTCCACAGAAATTGCAATGACATCATCATAGCCATGTGCACTAATGTAAAATGCCCTTTCTACATTGCAGCTTCTGTTATTGCAAATGAAAGTACTTTTGGAATAAGAAAGGCTAAATTTCTACACACATGCCCAGCAGTAGTAGAGAACACCAAGGTCATAGGAAAATGAGTGGCACACTGGTACGCGTCGGTGCTATACAAACGGTTTTTAACCCCTTTCCGCGGCGGTATTTGGAACTGTCGCTAGCGAGTGTGGGCGATAGGGGGGTCCTTCCCACACGACCCAAAAACCGTCGGGGATATGCCCTCCTGGCACACACGCTCGACAAAATAAGGTCATGTGCGACCGGCGAGCGCTCAAATACGGAAATACGTACAGTAGAGATAAAAAATAATTATACAGGCGAAATTGTTTCCGGTCGCAAGTACATCCCACACAGTCAGTCCCGCTAAACGTTTCCGTTCGTATGTACATCCCACACAGTCGCTCCAAGGAAAACGTTTCCGTTCACAGGTACACCACACACAATTTTTCCCGTTAAATCGTTTGCATTATCGAATGTATCACACACGGTCCGTAGAAGAAACTGTGTGGCAAAGGCTGTCCATCACACACATTTTTTATGTGGTAAACGTTTGCGCAAGGTGGCCTAATGCAAACAGTTTTCAAGAGAAAGTCGTGTGTGATTGTTCATTAATCCAACATGGTTTATTCCTAGAAACTGTGTGTGTTGCCTGAGGTCATCGCCCACGGTATTTTTTTGATAACTGTTTGCAATAGGAAAACCCAATTAGCAGGCTAATTCGCCATTAGTAGGCTAATTGCCCTATTATTAATAATCCATTTATTAATCTAATTGACATTCATATTAAGCACATAATATATTTCAATTCCATATTAAGGAAGCATAATTTCATAATTGAAATACATCAGAGTACAACATGATATAGTTTCAGCACTCAGCTACCCCATTACACAACTGCACCAGCACCAAGTTTCACATGCAACATGTAGAACCTTTCAAAATTAGCATCATAGACGGTATATAGACAGATGCATCTCATCTGGAAAACTGTTGAAGCGGAAGGCGAATATTGAGCCTTCATTCATGTTAAAGGTCTTTGCAACTTTAGGCCAGTGCCTGTGGATGATTGACCGTCCGTCCTTTGTCCTTTTCATGAACACTTTAATATTGAACCGTGGGTGTTGTATGAAAACCTTCCTCGCCTCCTGACCATAGAGGTGGTTTGAGAGGTAATCATCAGTGAACTGCTTTGGAAAGGCCTGAAAACAAGGATGTACATAAATATCTTCTCTATATTGGAAATGGGGCAAAGGAATAAAAAAAGTCAAGGTATAATAGTTAGTACCATCTTGTAGTGAACTGATGTCTTCTTCATTGTGCAAACAAAGATCTTGTTGTTTTTTGTCGCTAATTTCTTTATCCTAACAATCTTTCTGAGTTTCTTGATTTGATTGATATTCATGGACAACTCATTTCCCCATATGCAAAAGGGTCGAACAGTGGGTCAAATCCCCTGACAGCAGGACCTACATGTACAAGACCAAATTATTAAAAACCTAAATATTAGAATGGTTCCTGCAATTGCACAATAATGTGCTATTAGACAACAGATCATGCACGTGCTAACCTCGATTGTAAACCTCAGTGCTTCCAATTGTTTCCCTGCAACACATATACGGTAGTTAGTCATCAGGTTAAGTAAGGGTTCGCATGCTATCAGTAAAATATGTTGATGAAAAATAAGCACATTGCAAATTCATCAAATTAATTCAAGCCACATGGAAAACCCATTTATCCAAACCAAGTATGATTAAGAACTAGGAAATATAGCACTTGTATATGTTTCTCATGTATTAAGTGCAACCAAATTCGATTTATTCCTCACATGCACAATAATACAAAATTCTACCCATGACAATTGGACATCGCATTGCATAATTAAACCAAGCAGTTAACTAAACACCACAACAAATGAACCAAACATTAATTGAGCACCACATTGCACAATATAACATACTTCTAGTAGAAGATCAAACGGTTAACCAAACAGTTAACTACAGCCAAATTGTACCAATTGTATTTGTCTCTCATGTATTTGCTACAGCCAAATTCAATTTATTCCTCACATGGTATACAATAACAGAATGCACCCACAACTATTGAACACCGCATTGCAGAATTAAACCAAATAGTTAACTAAACACCACAACACAAATAAACCAAACATTAACTGAGCACCACATTGCACAATGTATAACCAAACCAAGCATGCTTGACAACTTGGAAATATAGCAATTGTTTCCGTTTCTCATGTATTTTGTAAATATAAATTCGATTTATTTCTCACATTGAAGACAATACAAAATTTCAGCCTGAAGAATTGAACATCACATTTGCATAATTAATTCAAACAGTTAACTAAAGACGACACCTAATTAATAAAACAGTTAATAAGTGAGCACCACACTGCACGACATATAGAACATATACACTAGAGCAATAGATTGCATGGTAAAATTATATAGCACAATTCACTAGAATTTGTGAAGGAAAGGCAGGAGTAGCACACGCAACGGGTAAACCGAGCATGCTTAACCGACGTAGCTAGCAAATGGCAAGGTGCTCCTCCAAGATCTGGGGGTCAGCGCGAATGGCAGCCATCGCGACCTCATCCGCGCGTGCGGCCGCGATTTGCTTCTCCGCTGCCAAATGCTCCTTGAGATCCTGGCTATACTGCGTGCACCATGGCTTAGGGCGGCGCTTATTTGGTGGAGGGGTCGGTGATTTGGTTGGAAGGTGTCGCGCTCGCGCCAGCGGTCCGGGCATGTGGGATATGGAAGGAGGAGGAGGATGGGGGTCAGGTGTGGATTACCTGCCTGGATAGACGAGGCCGAGCAGCGTGAAGGAGGGTCGCCGACGAGGAGGCGGCACTGCAAGTAAGGAGTGAAGGTTTCAACTTGGAAAGGAAGGCAAAAACAGGGAAAATGTGGCTTTTTCTAAGGGGAAGGGGTGGGGGGGGAATATTTCCGTGGAAGCCGAAAATTTGGAATCGCTTCAGCAAAACAACTGGCGCGCAAAGTGTCATCAGACACGGTCCCTTATTCTGAACTATGTACGATATGTGAACATCACAAACGATTTAGATAGCTTAACCAGTGTGTGATGAGTTTGAACGTCAAAAATTTTGGTTTGAATTTCCATGGTTACAGTGTTCATCCATGTCATTGCATAATTTGGGTACACAAAGGAGACTACAACACACCCACACTTCTTAATCGAGCAAGTTCAGCAATTAAACAAAGCTAGCCGACCTAAACATTACTCTAACAAATTAAAGACCGACGCTCTTAATTAAACAAAACAAAGAGTACTACTATAGCTAGTGATCGTCGATCTCCGGCGCCGCCTCCATGTCCAGCTCGCGCCCGACAGTCTCCTGGGGAAGGGGCTCCATGGCATCCATCGCACCATACTCGGCAAGAATCTCGCCATCCGCGTCCGCCATCTCTTTGGAAAAGGCCACCACCAGATGGGCGTGGGCGGACGCGATCTGGGCTTGGACGGGATCCGTCGTCGCAAGGTATGCGACATAGGAACGGACAGCTGCTCGAACGCTCTCGGCGATTGCCAGCTCTTCGGCCGTGGGTTGCCAACCGTTGCCGGAGAAGCTTCGTTCAATTTGTGCGGTGACCGCCAGGAGCTAGGCGTGGGCGGCCTCGACATGGTTGTGGGTGGCCTCCATTAGGGCTAAGGCCGCCACTGCAGAATGAACAGCTGCTGTGCCGCTCTCGCCATTTGCTATCCCTGAGGCAGATGTTGCTGCCGCCACCTGAGAAGCAACAATGGTTGTCTGGGCTAACTTGGTCGCCCGATCGCAGATTGCAGCCGTACTCATGCACCTTGTTAGCACGTGCAAGGCGGCTGCAGCCGCGCTCTCGTCGGAGTGGGCCACCGAAGTTGTCCTCATGATGTGGGTCCACGTTGTTGGAAATATGCCCTAGAGGCAATAGTAAAATGGTTATTATTGTATTTCCTTGTTCATGATAATTGTCTATTGTTCATGCTATAATTGTATTAATCGGAAATCGTAATACATGTGTGAATACATAGACCACAACATGTCCCTAGTAAGCCTCTAGTTGACTAGCTCATTGATCAATAGATGGTCATGGTTTCCTGACCATGGACATTAGATGTCATTGATAACGGATCACATCATTAGGAGAACGATGTGATGGACAAGACCCAATCCTAAGCGTAGCACAATATCGTGTAGTTCGTTTGCTAAAGCTTTTCTAATGTCAAGTATCATTTCCTTAGACCATGAGATTGTGCAACTCCCAGATACCGTAGGAATGCTTTGGGTATACCAAACGTCACAACGTAACTGGGTGGCTATAAAGGTGCACTACAGGTATCTCCGAAAGTGTCTGTTGGGTTGGCACGAATCGAGACTAGGATTTGTCACTCTGTATGCCGGAGAGGTATCTCTGGGCCCACTCGGTAACACACCATCATAATGAGCTCAATGTGGCTAAGGAGTTAGCCACATGATCATGCGTTACGGAACGAGTAAAGAGACTTGCCGGTGACGAGATTGAACAAGGTATGGGGATACCGACGATCGAATCTTGGGCAAGTAACAT